CTATCTTGGTCTGCATCATGAAATTTAATTCTTCCCTAACTTCATTCAGAAATTTTAAAAGAAACCTCCCAAACAGAAACTACATGAAGTATAAACTAATTGGGGTTTTTGTTGTCATACTTTTTTTTTTTTTTTAATAAGCCTTTATGCTACAACTGATTTCAGAAATTGGTAACTTTTCTTAATGCAGGCCTAGCAGGCATTAAGAAACAGCTGGAAATTTCCTGACGAAGTAAAGCTTTAAATTTCTGAAACTGGGATGAAACAGAGGGATTTACCCCTACCCTCTGCAGCACATGCTTGCTGTTCTTTGAAGAATGAAGTTTCTAAGTGCCACAACTATGCAAATCAGGTGGACAAAGAAACATGGTCAAAATTAAACAGCAAAGAAACATCAAGTCTTTGTTTCAACTACCTTACTACTTCTGATACCTGCAAAAGCTTGATGCAAGTACACAAAAGCAGCTGTGTTCAACAGCTAGGAATTCAGTGGTTTCTGCTTCTCAATTTTCAAAGTAGGGTGGATGAGGCAGGATCAGTAATCAGCCTTACAAATCATCAGCATTTCACAATACAAAGACAAATGCTATGAGACAAAATTTCTCAGTCAGAAAATAAATGGTGAATGCTTAGAAAACAAAATTTCCTTATTAGGGTGGCAGTAAAATTGAGGGGGTTGTCATCGGAGGAAAATGTAGCCCTGCAATTTCAGGATTAGAATATGAATTAGAGCATTCTCTAGATGCCAAGCTATTAGCTCCTAGGTCAAAGACAAAGAAGTCTTCTCTGTTCAAGATTTCTGCGCTCAAGAAAGTCTTAGCAGCATCCGCTTTCTGCTGCCCAACAGGGCTGGGTTCTGAAGCCTTGCGTGTACTTACGCTGAAAAACAGCAGGATATAAGACTTTCCATATTAATCATGAGGATTAGAGACAGCAATGCCAGGCACGGCTAATAGATTTGGGAATGCAGAAACACTTCAAGTTAGAGCTGCACTCAAAAAAATCACTAGATAATGGTTGGATCAGTATAGAAGGCAGAGTCCATTCTTTAAACTTACCACTAGTAGGTGTAAGTGGGTGTCATCTCTGGCTCTGAGAATGGAGAATAGGAAAGGAGATGAATAAAGAAAAACGAAGGAAAGACTGAGAAATTGTGAGAAATCAGCTGTATCGTCATTATTTCCTTTTAACGCACGCAGCCACACACATGCGTGGCCATTTATAACTGCTGTATCAATGTGAGCTTTGCTGACCATTTTAAATCCAACCTACGCCTTAAAACAGGTAGTGTACGTGCTCAGAAGACAAATATTCACTTGAGCAGGAAAACATAAGGCCAATTCAACAGAGCAGATCATACATTTTTAACCTCATAGCACGGCAGGAAAATGCTTTAAACCTGTAGCAAGTCAATGAAAAATCTTCCCTACTGGTAAGCACAATAGCAGCCATCCATTTCAATAGAAGTTTATCAGCAGTGAAACCTGACCGAGATAAATGACGAAGCTGTTGAGCCACAGCCTGCTTCTGCCTGCTGCAGGCTGCCAGATAAAATGGGAACAAAAGCTCCCCGCTGTACCCCCTACTAGTCTCCATTAACCCCCGCTGATGCTTTATTATCGTCTGGGGGCTCCAGAACAGCATAGCATGAATCAGTGTGTCAAAAATAAATAATAAAAGCTCATATGTAGCACAAACAAACCAGAAACGTAGCACGCGAGAAAAATTCATTTTGGCAGCGGCGCGATTAAATAATGGTTCTGAGGAATTCTGCATGCTAGAAAAAAACAAAAAAGAAAAAAATAGCACAATGTATGTAAAATCTTGTATGAAAAACTACTTAGAGGCAATAGAGTGCAAATACATAAACGTGTTTCCTCTGCTTTTAACACACCACCGGCCCCCCGCCCAACATATACAAACACATAAAAGCAAAGCAGAGACCAGGCATATATTCTGATGTCTTCATGTCCAATTCCAAGTTTCATCTTTTGAGATCCTGTCACAAATATCCTCTTTGATGCATCTCCTCCCGTGTTCATTCTCCAAACATAAGTTTAAAACATTAGTGAAGGTCAAAGCATCTTCTTCTAAACTGATGTAAAAAATGGATGGGAAGGGCAGGGAAAGTGTTACAAATCTCCTCAGGATTCATGGTTGCCGTAGGAGAGAAAGGCAGCGGGAGGAAAAGCGAAGGCTTGAAATGTTAGTAATGTTTTAGCTATCACGGATTTAGATAGTGTCACTGCAGCCCGAGATTTCTGTAGCCTACCATAACAAAGTCAGTCTCTCATACAAGATTACAGAGACCACACAAGATCCTGCGGAAAATTCACTAAGATCCATCAGTAGAGAAAATCACCACTACATTTGCATTACTTAGCATGCTAGGGGGCAGGAAAATAAATTTACTTAGCCTGAACTGTTCTGTTGGACAAACATCACCCTCTTCATTCGACAGAGCCTCTCCATGTTTTATTAATTACAGAAGCTGTACTGAACTTGCACTCGAATCTATCACTATTAGAGGTTATCGATTTTCAACCCACTTCTGCCCATCTCAAGTGCAGTTAGCAAGCAGCAATATTGCATCTATGGAAGATCACAAAGTTTTTCTAAAGCTAACGCAACAAGCCAACAGAATAAAGACTCCGCAAACCTTCAAGGAACAGAATGGCCTTGAGACAGGAAAAGAGAGAGACTGGGTTCCGTCCAAAGGTCCATCCATCCCAGTACCCTGTCTCAGACAATAATCAAAACTTGCACTTACAGAACAGCGCAATAAAGCAAATACATACTGAAACTTTTCAAGAAGACTGCTTTCATTCTACAGCAAATTACAGTTTGGTGATTTGTGGTTCAGAAGACAATTCTATTTCCTAGTAAACTGCAGTGGAATTCCCTTCCACAGATTAATCCAGTCTTCCCAGTAACACATGTAAGCTTTTAACATTCACAACCACTTCCACAACTCACCACCCGCTGGTCGAAGAACCATCTGCTTTTGTTTGTTCTGCACCCATCACCTGCCAGTATTATTTACAAATGGCAATTTCTTCTATCAAAAGAGACATGTAGGGGGGAAGTCCTGGTCATCTTATACATTATTTTCTTGATTTTATAGATCTGTCTCATAACCCTATCTTAACAGCTTTTGAAATTAAAAAAACCAACCTCCCCTCCTCAACAAAAACAAAAAGACCACAACAGAAAACCAAAACCCAAACAAAACCAAGTCCTCAAACAAAACTAAAACTGAAAAACACCAAAGCAAAACTGTGGGAAAATTTCTTCTCTGTTGCTTTAAAGGTTTTGGCTGGACTACTTCAAGATTTTCTGCACGTTGACAAGAGTTAACTAATGCTAATTTTTTATAAAAAGCAGCAGCAGTAAAACCATAACTGTAAGACTTGGAGCCTCATAGAAAGAAAATAACTAGTAATTCTGAAACTTTAAGATGATAAATCTTCTCCAATGCCTTGCATAGATATTGCATGACAACCTGGAACAAACTTATTCTGCTGACTCACATTGGTTTATAAACAATGAAATGGAAATTGTCCCAGCAGCTTTTGTCCAAGATCAGATATTTTCTGTCCTACCACAGACATTGTAATATTGGCATAAACATGATATATGCATTCTAGCCAGTTTGACAGAATTGCAGCACTGAGCTCATGCCTGATCTAGACGAAAATTTCTACCACAAACTGATCCAGCACTGAACAGAATCATTATTAATGAATACAGAACTGTGGTCTGAGTAAGACTGAAGCACATGTAAAATACCTCAATGCTCTGGCAAGCAGGAGACTGGAGAATGCCTAACCTACATCTTTCGCAAAATACTTTCAAGCCCAAGACAGCAGCAGGGCTAAGTGCTCAACCTCTTATAGCGTAGCTACAACTCTTTTTCCCCCTTTTCTCAGAGCTGGTATAATGTTGGGTGAATTATAGACCACAGATGTTGTTTTGAAGACAAAGAAAATTCTGTTCCCTGAGGCTCTCCCAAGGAGTGCTTCAAAGCAACTCACCTTGCAGGACTGGACTTATTTTGACTCTGAAGGAGAACAAACAGTTATGTGACCTTCCAGCACAAGACTAAGACTTCACATCGACTTATCTGAAGTTATAAATAAATAAAGCGATTTCATAAGGGTAGAGAAGATATTGCGCCTAATACAATAAGTGCTGAAAGCCATTTGCAATGGCAAGGAATCACTAAGGAAACCTGTAAGTCATCAAAAGAAAGGTAAATCTACCAGGCTATAGCAAATGTAGGTGTTGCTACTATGCACCAGGTAGGAGCCGAGTCTCCTGCTTCCAGACGAACTTCTGTCTTTTGATAACAAACTGAACAGTTTATTACTAATATACTAATTTCTCAAATACTGCCAAAAGATAATAAATGTAAAATTTGTTCCAGAAATGTTACACAAGATTTACAACGTGGGAGAGAAGAAAAACAGCTTCTATTTTTTTTCCAGTTAAAAGATTTCAGCAGAACATACCAGAAAGAAAGGAAAATCTATCCCCTCAGTAGAACACTAATAAAACAAGGGCAATGAAAATTATAGAGGATTGTGAGAGTACAAATAATTAAATGTGAAATGAGATTTATTTCTTTAAAATACTTTCTAGTAGTATCTAAGCTGAGTAGTGCAAAGAAGGATTTTTTTTTTAACCTACAAACATTATTCCCAATAAAAAGCTTTTTTTCCCTGACAACCTAAGTATTGACTTATTCAACAAATCATTATCATACATTCTCAAAAAAAGAGATCTACTATATGGATATAATTTCCATTTTACACACAGAAAAATGAAGGAAGAATGGCAAGTAACTTGCTGAAAGACAGAGAAGAAACTGAATTGTTTCTTAAAGGACAAATCAACCATTAACCCATTGCCCTTTTGAGGTATATTAGATTTTGAACTCCTAGAGGAGTAACTACATTCCATAACTCCATGGAATTAAAAACGCAGGTGCAATCACAAACCTCTATTTTGTCCGTTTTGGCATCTCCCCAGTATATTTTGCTTTCTGCATAATCCAACGCCAGTCCATTTGGCCAGCCAAGTGAGGTGTTCACCAGGACAATTCTGTCTGAGCCATCTAATGCTGCTCTCTCAATCTTTGGGATCTCTCCCCAGTCAGTCCAGTACATGTACCTGCAAAGCAAACAACATCTTAAGAACTCTTATTCATCCAAACATTCAATATTCACATAACTTCTTCCGGACTGTTGTTCCCAAAACCACACTGCAGACAAAAATCTACATTTCTGAGCCAAATATATTTTCTCACCTCAGTAAGGATGCTCAGACAATTCAGAAAGCATCGACATGTAAACACACTGTCTCTTTGCACAAAGCTCCCATAATCAGTCCGCTCAGCAAGACATAACTAGTGCTGTTAGCTAGACTAAACAAACAGATCCACACAGTCCTCCAAAATATTTTTAAACCGGAGAATAAAGACATGTAAGATAGCTACCCAGGTGGTCAAAACAGAGCACTAGTCTCTGTGCCTCAGAATCTTAACTTTCAAGGAATCCCAGTATTTTCATTTTGAAGGTTCGCAAGTTTATTCTTGCATCCGATTAGCTGCATACAAGTAGACAGACGTCTTTATGTGACTAATATTTAAAAAAAAAACGCTCATGAGCAGCTCCTCACCCAACCATGGGATCCAGCACAATAGCTCTGGGTTCTTCCAGGTCTTCTGATATCAAGATTTTTCTCATGGTCCCGTTAAGCCTTGTAACTTCAATACGGTCTGTGCCAGTGTCAGTCCAATACAGATTTCGGGCAACCCAGTCCACAGCGATACCATCAGGATGCGCGATCTGTGCTGTGACAACAAACTGACTGCCCGACCCGTCGATGAATGAGCGGCGGATAGCCCTAACTTCATCATCGGTCCAATAGATGTATCCTTCCAGAGGATCAAAGTCAATGGCGATGGCATGACGGATGTCCTCCAGAGGCAAAACAATGTCCGTAAAATCGGGCGTGTCTAAGGAAATTCGCCTCAAATCTGTCCGGCGGGCTAGAAGCAGCAGTTCAGTGGCACCTACATAAACAAGGCAAAAAAAACCCACTTTACGAACACTCTGCAATCAGTATGTATATAGTGAACTCGAGGCTGTACCATTTGTATAAGCTAATCCAGATACCTTGATTTCACAGGACCTACCTAACCAAACTGAAGGTCACCAGCAGAGAATTCCATTCAAAGGCTTCAAATGTGAGATTACTCTTCTGCAGAAGTCAAATGTGTTTATAGAAAAAACCCCAGTGTTCCTTGTTCAAAATGTACTGTTGGACATGTTTCCTACCCATATCACTCCCTCCAAAGGTACTGAAGAAGGTATGCAGTGACTATGCTGCTATTTTATGCAAATCAACAGATGGCCTGAGGCCTCTTAGATGAAAAATTAATTATATAAATAATTTACTGACCATTTGCTGCTGTTGTTGGTATAGGGGACAATCATGACAGACAAGCTGCATGTTTCAACAACACCCTTAGAAGCGGAAAAAAAATGTATCACAACACCACAAGCAAACCTCTTCTGAGAAACTCCTATAGAAAGAATTAAGAGTTGGGAACTGACAACTGCCCAGTGATGATGCAAAGCAGAAGAACTGTCAGCTTCTCCCATACTTGTTCACAACAAGCTTACTGAAGACAAAGATAAAATAACAGTGTGTCTTATAAGCCATTTTGAGCTGAGGCATACAAAAGCCTTGCTGGGTTTTAGGTCAAAAGTCAGAATATGATGAACTAAGATCAGCTAGCACTGCAGAAGACATTTTCACATTGAGCAACACAAGTGGTTTAATGGTACATGTGCTGGGAATCTGATCAATGACAGATGTACTTTATTGCCTATGCTAATTCATTTTAATTTCATTTTCTATTCTATATCACTAGATTTCTACGTAATGAAGGATAAACAACCACCACGACCCTTTCCAATTAAATTGGCTTATCAGTTTGGTGTCTCAGGGAGATAAGAGCTGCTCAAGCCTCAGGGAAGCCTGAGCTAAGGGGAAAAACACATGCACCCTAAACGCAGGAAAAGGGTGTCGCAATGCCTCTCCTCAGACAGCGAGGGGAAAAGGTTTGGCAGGGACTGATGTAGGTGTGAGGACAGAAGGAGGGGACGTGGGTAAGGTTTAGGAAATAAATGCATCAACATTGCAGTGAAAATGAGCCACTGCGGAGCCACTCTGACATGTCTCGATATTGATCTCGGAGAGATATAAATAAGGGCTAGAAGACCAAAAGAGCAACAATTAAAGCAAGCAGGTTGCTGATGGAAAAAGAATTTTAGCGTCTGATGCCAAATTTCTTTTAAAAACAAAGTCAGTAGTTGTTGGTGCTAGATGAAACCTCACTGCATGCCAAACTTTGGAGAGATGCCAAAGCAGCCACTGCTTCATTTACAGCAAGTTTAACACATTAAAAACATCTAAGACACTATCACAGTGCTGCAAGATACAGCACCTTTCAACAACTGAAGTTGAGAACATTATTACAAGTGTGATGGGTAGTCGAGAATGGATTAAGATCAGCTTTGTGATCTGTCCTTAAATGCCTTGTGTTCAGAAACACAGGTACACGCTACTCAGTTGTTCTTGTAGTGAATAACTCTTATGCATTAATTAATATCAGGAAGGGGGAACCTGTAATTACATGCCTATGTATCCTTCAAAATAATGTAAAGCATGTGACTGAAAATGGAAAACAGGCATGTTCGTAATGTGTTTTTTTTTATAATTACAGAAGCAACTAATTTGTCACAGCAGTCTATATGTGTATCTGTATTTGCTGATAGTAAGTATATCAAACAGTTCAGTATCAAGATCCAAACCTTCAGCTGCATTGTGGTCATATAAAGTATTAATGCATAACTAATCCAAATAATTTAGGTTCAAGAAAGAAAGTAATATCTAGCACTTTCTTTCTGACCAACCTCACAGTCATTTATCCAACTCACCTTTTAAACAAAAGTATGAAAATCATATTAAAAAACCCAAACAATAATACCTTTTCTACATTATCTAGTAAAACTAAGGTTGATCAAATGCACTAACCTCAGATTTATAAACAGTTAGGAAGCTGCATATTGTTTACTATATACAGAAAAACTGTATGGCGTAATTTCAAAATAATTTGTGCATTCTAGCTGAAGCCAACAGCCCTTCTGAAGAACTGATGCCAGGTCCCCAGAAAGACCTGGCTGAGTATAACCATGCCTTTGCTGAAACTCTCCCTTAAAATTGACCAATTGACCTTCCAATTCTTCTCAAGGACACGCCATTTCAACAGCTTCAAAATCCTGCTTTTGGGGTGCAACACTGCTCTTTAGTCAAATAACCCACTGTGTCTAAGCTTTAATTCAGCATCAGGAAATGACTGGCTTTCAGCTAACCAGTGTTGCACTCTGGATCCCTGAGCTAAGAATTTCATGGTCTTTATCTGGGGGCTTGGCTAACATTCCAGCCCCTACTCAAACACCACCACCACCACACCCCTCCTCCAATCAAGCAATAAAAACTTTAAAGCTTATTTTAGAGCTATTACCCACTCAACTGCAAACCGACACCTCAGCTGCTTAGTTAGATCACCAGTCATTCTGATCAGGAAAAAGAAACTGAGTAGCAGGGAAGCACCTCACCTCAAGCTAGGCTGAGGGAAAGATCACTCTGAATGCCTTCAGGCTTGTCCTGACAATAACAAAAAGAGCTAATGCAAGAGCTGGGCACGTTTATGGACTGATCCCATTACTAAATTGAAAGGAGTCAAGGAAAAAGGGTGATCTCCTAACTAAAACAATTTGCTCTTGTGGCAAACACTAGCTGTACACAGTTTACCTGGCTAGGCACTGATCACTACCTGTTCAGAAGACTATTCAAGGTACTCAAGGTTGCTAGGACATAACAGAATCAATTTTGTTCACTTCTATTCCAAAGACCAGTTACAGCACAAAAGCTAAAATGTGACAGCAGGATCTTCAGATTCCCTCACTCTGCCCCTCCAAGAAAAATCCTGTCTCTAATGATGAGCATGATGGAAAACATCATGGCTATGTAATCATATTTCAAAAAAAAAAAGCAAGCATGAAAATGCAGGAAAGGACCATACAGGCTGCATGATAGCGTAACTTTCTTTTCCATTTATCAGCACTTACTAGAAGAGTAGAATGAGTCACAAACATATAAAACACCTCGAATGCCACAAACACTTTCAAAAGGTTCACAGAGGCTGCAACCAGAGCTCTGACCTCAGCATTCACATGCAGACTCGAGACAGATTTTCCCCTAGACACCCCGAACTGCACCTACAAGGTCGAAGTAGCCTTGACAGACAAACAGGGGATTTGGAGCAGAGTCTATCGCCGCCGCTGCTGTCTTCTCTCTAACTGCTGGCCATCTCCAGTGCACCCATCACAAGCATGCCTGCAGACAAGTGCATCCCGAATACAGTGCTGGGTTTGAGGGCACAGACCACCAGGGATGCCGGGGTGGGTGCTCACAGCCTGCAAACCACGGCGCACAAACTTCCCACGCAAACACTTGCAGGCAGAGTTAAGCACACGGCTGTCCAGGCTTTAAAGTCAGGTCCTTCTGCCTACCCTCCGTGCTAGTCCCTCGCACAACCTTAAGTGATCTTAGCGACCCATAATTTATTTTTAAAAACCCACAAAACTCCCCAACTATTCATATCAGGGAGGAAGCTCAAGATTCTTTTCAGCAGTGCCTCAAGTCATGGAGTATTCAGGAGAGTTAGTAATTTTTCTAAAATCAAGTCCCTTACTTAAGATGTCTAAATATGGACATAAAAGCTTTACTCCAGCCTCTTATTTTTGAGAGCTTTAGCCTACTTTTATTAAGTACTTTGAAAGCTGGGATTACAAGCTCACGGATGGTGCATTACATTAGTCCTGGAACTAATACTTTCCTCAAAAAGTCACTATAAAAAATCAAAATAATTTAAATCTATGTGCTAGCTGAAGTCAAGGGAAGGGGGAGAAAAGGGGAAACTGAACAAGCATGCAGATATATGCATTGACATAACTTTAAAGTTCAATGTATAACACCCTGCTAACCTTTACAATTAATTACTTCTTCTCCATGATAGACATGTCTCATTTGTAAGTTAGTGAACTTTAAAACCATCAGTGGTTGCTGAGGCTAGTACAGCTACACAGACACATGCTCGGGAATTCATACATAAGAGCCAGACTTAGGACATATACAATGCATTCTCTGTATCTGAGAAAGCAAGATTATTAATATATCTTCAATGGTCACTAGACATTTGACTAAAATATTTCTCTCCTAAATGTCTTCCCTTTCCCCAGTTGTAAAGTCACTATTGACAGAGAGCTCCCGACACGATAACACAAACAAGATTTTTTCATCTAAACAAGCTCAATCTTGAAACTATGCAAAAGGACATGCATCTGGAATTAACATCTTCTTTCCTTTAAAAGAAATTAAAGACTTAGGGTGTTAAATTAACGTCTCAATCTGTGCAGTCAAATCAGGATTCTGGCTATTCCTGACAAATCAAATTACCCACTGGGCAGCCCTAAACTGCAAAAGGAAGTGAAAATTTCTGATTAATGCCTCCAGGCCTACACAGGAAATAGCATTTGAGTGTCCATGGGAAAAATAAAGACTCTATTCCTGGAAGAGAATAGAATAGTCAAAACAAGACTGAAATGAAAGTCTGAAGTAGTGCTTTTTCTTCTTCAAGAGGAAACTTGCGTCTCCTTGCTCAGCTGAAGTCACCATTGGTTTTCTCAGTACAAACCACACAGATGTATTTGTAGCAGCAAATCTGTGAAGGAAGCAAAATTCGTTACAAGGACAGAGCTGAGCACATGGTCGGGGAGATCTCTGAGCACTAGTAAGAATATAAGGCCAATTACAAACTTGTTTTCATAAGAAAATTCAGGTTTGCCCTACAACTATGAAACAGTCAATTTACTCATAGCACTGCCAAACTCAGAACGGCTGATACGTCCTGCAGAAGAGGACAGGAATCAGTAAAAGCTCTCTGGCAGAAGCACCTGGTTGCTCCAATAGGACTCTCTGCTCTAAATGTTACTGACCAAGGAATAGCTAGGCATGAAAACTGATAATTCTGCCTCTCTTTTTGAGTGACAGGAATTTGCAAACCTTCCCCCAGGCAAAGGAGGTGCTAAGAGCTTGCTACATCTCAGTTACTTGCCTGTTTTGTAAGAGGAATAGAAATTAGTACATGAACAACCAGACAGAATTATCAATTACTAGAAACCTAGCTAATTTTAGTCCAAGTTATCACCCTTTTCTGAAACACTATGGAGAAGTGCTTCTAAACTGGGGGGGAGGGGAGAGTTTTATATTCATAGCTCTCACAAGAAATGGTAAAACTCTTCTAAGGTATGATAAAAAAAACAGCTACAAAAGAATCAAGAAACTAACACTGGGAGAAAGGGGAGGGAGAAAAAGATTTCCTATAAACCAAGATTATTCAAAAAATGCTAGGTTGTCATGGAAACCACTCAGGGAGGGTCAGCCAGCCTCACCTTTGGCTGCAAGGATCATCTGTCAATGCCAAAGCACTGCAAACACCACAAACACACTCAAAATTCACCCGTCAAAATCCTTCCAAGCCATGCCGGTGCTCTCAACAGCGCAGCATGAAATGAGGTTCTGTCCTCAAAGAGGCTCCTTTCAGCATGAAATAATTTGGTTTAGGAACCAGTCTAATTATAGCCTACTGCTATAAGTCAAAACCATCTTAAAGAAAAGGAACTCTAAGCCTCGATTCTCACCTTTCTTCACCTGTAGATTGTCCCTCCCTCCTTCCTTCCCCCACAGTCATGTACGTGTGCTAATTGCAAACAGAGATTTAATCAGAGTTTCAGCATAACAGATACATACTGAAATGATCCAAGGAAAAAAATGTTCAGTTCTCAGGGTTCAGCTCTACTTTCACAGCAGATATAGTAAACAGGCAAGTACAAAAGGAAACAAGAAACCAGCCCGAGAAACCAGAACCACCCCACTCCATCCTCCCCACACCTGAAAAACAGAAAATAAATGTTCTTCCCCAGGGTGACCAAGCAGCCTAAGGAAAAAAGTCAACACACAAACAATCCAGATTTACATCTGGTCTGTGGCTAGTCTGGCTCTGCTTGACTCCTTTCCCCAAATCAGTAATTGCGGCCGTCACAACCATGAGAAGAAATTCCAGTGAATCTCTGCCTTGAAGAACACTGCAAAGTTGCAGGTTGCTCACAAAAGCCCTAAGCCTACCACCCGCACCTCTCCCCAGTGCAAGGAGCGAGAAAACAACCTGAAAGATTTCATTATTTTAGGGTAAGCTCAGCTCCAAATGCTGAACCTGAAGCTCCCTCATGCTCCTCCCAGAAGTTACTTTTGCACAGGATCATCGAAATTAAGTGAAACCAATGGATCTGATGCCCAGTTTGAGTAGACTGCTCTACTTGGGTTATGTGCCAACTCATTCTTAAGTCCTAGAAGCAGTGGTATGCAATGCTCACTAAGCTAAATAAACATGGACTCAATTTTCTTCCCCCCTCCCCATCCATTTTTCTTTTTGAAGAGGGAGAAGTGAAGTGTTTTGGAAATATGCAGTAGCAGTCAAAAATGCAGTATTATGTTGACAAGTGTAAGAAATGTTATTGCATAGGTTTTTTTGAGCCGAGATAGACAACATGCTGTATTAAATTGGTTAAAAAAACCTTCTGATAAACTGGGAACTGTATTTTCTGAGCCAAATACACTTCATGGCTGACTGGGAACATATTATTTGGCTTCTCGTGTGTTACGGGAGAAAAGAGCAACTGTTACAGGTTCTGAGACATAAGGAATGTTTGAAAAACTGATGATTTTTAGTATCTCTGCATGTGAAGTTAAGGTTTTGTGGTGTGTTTTTTAAAAACATAATTCCTTTACTTGCCCTTGGTAATTTACTTAGGTAACACTAGAAAGGTGCCGTTCAGCAGAGGGCAGTTAACCTGCATGGCAGGTTGCTTCTATGAGGACCCAGGACTGAACCTGGGCAGTGAAGCACACGCTCCTCTGATGCTCCTTGGAACGCAGCACATGAGAAAAAAAGATACAGCCCCTCTTGCCTGAAGTCCCTGGCCCTTTTCCTATCAGCGGCAAGTCAAAGGAAAGCAATTTCTCTTTCTTGATCTCTCAAGGGCTTGTTCTAACTGTTGTCCTTAGTCCTTCAGCCTCTGCTGCCTTACCTTTCTTGCCTCTGCTTGGCAGGTGACCAAACCTTCTCCACTCTCTGTCTCCCACATGGACTTTCTGTGCAGCTCTGTTTGGGAAATGGGCCTGCACTAGGTCACAACTGTTTTAGCTATTTGCTGCCATAAATGAGTTTATCTGTGCATATCAAATATTTTTCAAAAGTACGTGAATTTGTGCCACATTCTGACTAAATATGACCAACCCAGAGATGTGTTATTAAAGCCTCCTCTTTGTACTAGCAGAAATGGAAGAAGAACATCTGTGCATGTATTGGTAAACTCTGGCAGACAATCTTGCAAGGCTAAATTGGGAGCTGCTTCTGAGTTTTTCACATAAAAGCAGCAATTTATTTTAACAAGGTTCACACAGACACAAATAGCCACAAAAAATAATCAGCAGAGAGCATGAAATAGCACAAAATTAAACACTGAACAGTGGCTGACAAGCCTAGAAGAATTTTTTAAATATAAAGTAACAGTTAAAGTAACAAAAAATTATTTCTGTATACATTTAGCCTATTTACAGTAAATTCTGCTGTGTCTTTCTGTTTCTTCTACCATTTACCTTTGTCACAGAGAGATGATCTGCATAAAAAATGGTTATTTATGAGCAAGCTAATTATCTCCCAGTGTTTATTTTGATCCTGTCATGTACTACATCAACCACAGAACAACATCACAAGACCTATATGTACAAAATGTAACAATTTAAAAATTATATACATTAGCCCACAACGAAACACTAAATGCAGTTCTGAGTGAGTGCTTGTAGCCCGAAGTCTCAATCATGTCTTGAGTTTTAAGGCTGAAACGCTTTTGACATGCCATGCCAAAACATGCCATTCTTTTCAGTTCCTCTACACAGATGTAAGTGCCTAACTTTATGCACATGAACTGAAAGAGACTCCAGGTGTGTATGTAATAAACATCAGATCTTAAAAAAACCTGCCAACACTGTGTTTACAATCCTACTAGCCAAATACTAATTCATGAACAATTTTTATGTTAGAAATATCTAAGAGATAACAGAGGAGGTAGGTAGCATTATCTCTAAGAGCCCCAAAAACTTGCGGGGAATTAGTGACAAGAGACAGAACTACAAGATGAATTTTGTAACTGGAGGCAACCTGCTTTTCAGCCATGAGACTCTTCTTTGAGAAGAAGAGGGCATTTTCCAATTACTTTTATCTGTGCTGCAAAAGCATGCATGATTTCACAATTTGCTACCCATAATCCACATTGTACAGTGAAGCTGGAAGAATCCTTTCCCCTGCAAAAAAGTACTCTGTGCAGAATCTAAAAAGGATTTTTAAAAACAAAGCCTACCATCTTTGCAGGTCTTTCCATTCTCAAGAAGTTTCACACCAGTGGGACATGCACACTGATAAGAGGGCTTGGTAGGAGACATCAAACACAAGTGGGAGCAGCCACCATTATTAATTCCACATGGGTTTGTAGCTGTTAAACATAAATTACACAGATTAATGCTTCCGATAACGAATGACCTCATCTCGTGTGTTAAGACACGTACGGCATTTGAGTGGTAGAATCAGTGGCAGCAACACAGATTAAAGGAGGAAATGATAAACACAGACCAAGGGAAAAATAATTCAAGTGTTGAGTAGCAGGGTATTTATGGTACCAAAATGCACGGATGTTCAACATCTTCCTTTTCGGTGAAGTAGCACATAGCTCTAAACAAGAGCCTTGTTTCAACTCTGCTCTTCTCATTTTCACAAACCATTCAGCATGTCGGTGCTGAATGTATGGTAGGTTGTATATATAAAAACAAAATGCAAACACAGTAAATTAACACAATGGTTAGGACAGTGGTTATTACACAGAGCTAGTCTTCCTTAACATAACCTCCCAAATTAACACTGCTTTCCATTCAGGAACTACTACCTGAAAAAAAAAAAAAATACCATGTTGTCTAAAGTTATAGCACATCAAACAGAAAAAAGAATACAACAACATCAGGGAAAAAAAGCAAGAGATGTGGGGTTTTTGCACTTGAAAAAACAACGTAGAGAACATTTGGTTTCTTTCTGGGTCTTTTCCCAATCTCTGCATTGGAAAAATTGCATCATGACGCGAGTGAAGCCACCCACCGCCATACAGAAAAAGACTAATTAAGATTTTTGCAAGTCAGTTCCAACTTGCAGTTGAAAAAAGAAAGCAAGACAGCTTACCATTTGGCTGCCTCTTTTGGCTGAAAGCATGGATATCCATGGGAGAGAAGATGTTGGAATGTATTTCACGCAGGTCCTCCCCGGAGTACTTGCTGCAGGCCAAGATCGAATGCGTGTTCCAGTCAGTCCAGTACAACGTGTCCCCAAACAGTGTCAAAGCAAAAGGATGTGGAAGGGAGCCTTTAACTACCGCTTGCCTAAGAGAGCACAGGAAAGAAAATGACTGCTCAAACACAATTCAATCTCTGGTTTTGCTTGAACACAGCTTTTGCGAAAAGAAGTTTTACCGTGTAAGTACTGTTGACGAGAACTCGATCTTTGGGGAACACATACAGCCCGGCCGCTTTGGGGAATGATACAGGAGAACAACACACGAGTCCTATTTCCAGGCTGCCCGCTGATGCTGAGATGGTCAAGAGATGTCAATTGAAATCCTTACTTGGGTCTGTGGCTATTTCTTAGCACCCTTTTAACACTTCATACCTCTGAGGCTCTTTGTCACCATGTGCAAGCAGGGAGAATGCCAGCTGATTTTATGCAAGTCTGGCTGCTACCTCCTGATTTACAACCTCCATCGTTTTCAGCCTCAGTGGATTTCAAACTGAGACAGCATTTGGTCAATTAGCATTCCATCCATCTCTTTCAGTTTCTCCCTTCTGAACCATCAGAAAAATACTCTAATGGCAAATAGCTTCACTATAAAGAAATTCGTAAAGTTACTTTTCATGATTCATTACTATGATAATTATTAAGCTATTGTTTTTATTATAAGCAGTGCCATTAAACAGAGTTCTACTGATCTTCTGCCACGGTAATGGTATCATTTCTGAGCAAACTGGGTCACCGCCTGTCTCCAGGTTCATAAACAAAATTAAAGAGCATACCCATATATTTTATGTATATATACAAACACATGCTCATTAGCCATCACAAAAATGCAGCACAAACATTACTGAAGACAGTTTTTCCAGGTTCTTGTGATGTAGAAACTAATTATCTGCACCTAGGTTCCTCAGAACAGGAATTAAGTAGCTCAATTCTTACGGTTATTTTATTCAGAATCACAGAAAAACTTCAGATGGAGAGGACCCTAGAGGTCACCTGGACCAACACTCTGCTCAAACCAGGGCGACCCATGTACCACTTGCACAACTGCTTCTCCCCACCTCCTTTCTTCTGAACTGTGTGGGTGCACACGTGTTCCTGTGTATGCAAGCTCCCGCTGACCGGTGGAGATCGCCGTCCCTCTCCCGGATTGAGAGTGTAACAGATTGACACACAGCTCTGCTACTCCTCCAGGTACGGGCTGTGCTATGATCACCAGCCTCCCGGTTTCCCTCTTGCACAGAGAAGTGTCATTAGCTGTACATCTACTGCAAAAACACCCCCCACACCGTATGCATTGCTTTTGCGAAGAAGTCAGTAATTGTTTAGTAGAGGACAAAAATACTTTTATTTTCCAAATATCTTCTGTTAAAATACAACAAAAGAGTATATTAAAGTAGGAAATTTGAAGGTGTCTTCTGACTACAAAGAGTCTGTAGTCATTACTGCTCTTTCACCTTAGCTTCTGGAAAAAGATGCATTATCTTTAAAGCTTCTATTTTTTTTCCTGCTCTCGAGAAAAACACGTACTTTCCCTTACTTGTCATTCTAGCGTTCCAATTCTACACCAAACAATATTTCTTATTTCTTGATATTTTGCACTCAGAAGTAGGACGTATTATCTTTTCTTTCTTATCTCTGTCTGGAGTCAGGTATATATTTGCTTCTAATTAAATGCACCAACTAAGCACCTTACAAAAGACTACTGTAATATAATTTGCAGCTGAAACCTACCCGTCAAACAGTGAAGCCAGAATAACACAATACACTCCGGTACCAAGCATAAAGGCATTCTAAATCTGTAAACATTTTTACCAACCCCACCTCCCAACACTAAATGCCTTCAGATTTGAATAATTTTAGTTTATAGCAGCCTTAGAGACTATCTAACTCTTTATGACGAATTTACGACATTTGTCATATGGGATAGAAGCAACAGAAGTTCAAAGCTCTGACTATAACCAAATCTGCACCAAAGACAGTGTTGCCATGCGCAAGGGAAGTCACATTTTTATTAAGCATTCTGACTGTCTTGCAATTCACTTCAGAAAAAAAACCAAACCAACTACAAACAGAGAGTATTTTTAAATGCCATTAGTATCCACCATTCCTGGTGGGAATAAATCTTTGAGCACAATAGACACTGTTATACATGCCCAACTTTTGGTCAACTATCTATTCATGTGACAAAGCATAAGGTGAACTGTGACCTTTATTTAAACCAGCCCTTATCTGGTGACATTCTGGAGCCCTTCGTTTGAGTGACATGACCTGGCAGCTCTTTGGTGGCAACCACCTTCAGCCTCCATGTTACCAGCCCAGGCTTGATTGGAACAAGTGATACGACAGCCAAAAGTCTCACATCTTATTATCCTTTGCTAAGCTCCTCAGTTCCTTCAAACCGCTGCATTCGTATCGTTAGTCTCATGTTATTTGTGCAGGAGACATCTTCAGGGCTTCAGCAACATGCCAGCTGGCTACATACTAGATGGCACTAAGCACACACTAACTTTAATCATCTTCCCTGCGTCAGGCATATAATTGCACAAATTTGCCCTAAAAATCTTGATGGGGATTGACATTTAGGACATCATCCTCTCAAGTCTGTTTAGGTGGCTGGGAAGGAAATCAAGAAGCGGACACAGCAGAGGAGGCAGGTGGGAAGAGAAAAAGGGAAAACAAGCAGTTTCCACAGAAATCAAATTCCATCTGTGCTGTGTATCATGATTTCCTAAATACAACTATTTATAGCACCATCATGGTAATCAGAGACGCAATTACAATAAAAACTTATTACAGTAAAGAGTTTTCTACTGCCTGAAGAAAACGTAGATCCACTTTAAATACACTCATCTTTGTTCCATTCTTAATCTGTTAAGAGGCCTGTGAAATACTTTGTGAAGATAAAGGAAATAAGTAACAAACAAGTTAAAGCAGGCATTAAGAGAAGGGGCTACTGAACTCTGAAATGGAATACATACATGAAAATTCATAGAAAATCTATCCAGTTCTGTACTAATGACAAAAAAAGTGCTCCTGATTCAGGATAACATGCATTTCAGATAAAAACTACACTCATCTGACATAAAAATTAACAGCAAAATTACAAAAAAAAAAATCAAGATTAATTTAATATCCTTTATCATAACGAAGATTTCTTCAGTATGCCTTTATTTCTTTTTTCAACTAATACTACATTCAAATCCAAAGCCAGATTATAGCTATGAAATCTAATTCTTCCTCCCAAAAAGCCACCAAAAATCAAGATACCAGAAATTTAAAATATCATCAGAACTATGAGTATTGTTCCCTAGAATTTTAACAGATAATATTTTATATCCAAGCATAATGGCATTTCTTCATAAAAATAAACAATCAAACACTTTCCATTAACCAAAGCCCATCTAGCCCAGCTGCGTTACAATTCTCTAATTGCAAAAACTGATCCGAACATCTGCAGAGAACCTGGGGTACTTTAGACAGCCTGGGTCGTACATCTCTAAACCATTAACATTCCAGCTTCGCAGTAGCAAAACTCCTTTCAGGTGACCTCTAAGGCTGCTTGTGCTCAATCTCCAGAGCACGGTGCAAGAATTTGCACATTTACGTTTCAATCCATCTCTCCATTTCCCTCTGGAGGATCTCATACCTATTACCCACTCCTATGCCATCATACAGTGAAAAAAAAAAAAAAAATCTACTGTTGCACCAGTCTTTGCAATCCCATTTCAAATGCAACTGCAAAGATCGGGAAAAAAAACGAAAGTAATTCATCTTAACACTATATTCTCAGTGCTAGCGAGTGAATGTAAGAGAGGAAACTGTATCAAAGCTCTCTCTTAAGCCTCTCAACACCACTCACCCAAAATAAGAAGGGTAAGTAAGGTCATAGGATGGAAACAGCAGACTACATCAACCAGCAGTGAGATACCGTGCACGCGGGCAGTTGGGTTATCCAGCCTGAGGATACAGCCGTGCCTGGAGTAGAGACCACCCCGGGCAGCTATGGGCAGTCTCACGGTAGGCACCTTTTCCGCCCGTGGGAGAAGTTCTGTAGGGGGATCCTCAGTCCAAGCCAGGGAGGATCAAAAGCACAGAAATGCCACGTGCTTTCTATTCAGAAAGCACAGAAATGCCACGTGTTTGCATGATCTGAGATGCCTTTAATTTCATAAAGCTAATCCAATTCTCCAACAGTATGGTGTAGCAACGCAACTACACAGGAAATGCAAACGAACTTACATAAGTAGACGTACATTTACCACCTTTTTGTATACCTACATTTACACTTTACCTAAGGATCTCTGTTTCCTTAACCTGAATACTGAATGCAAATGCCTGCCCTTTAGGATATCATAGATCATTGATCCGAGGAAATAAAGAAAGATCAAACATTTTTAGTACAGGCATACTTCCATCTTGCTCACTAAATAATTTGGAACAGACCAATTCTGCCTGCAAAACAAAAAAATTCATTAATAAGGTACACTATGCAATCCCCATAATTAGCAGCCAAGAAAAATCGAGTTTTAAGCAGCAAAGAACTGGGACAGGAGCATAAAATGGAGTGGACGTTTAAGTTTGCATTTGCAGTTCATACTCAATAGGAGGTACTAATGATATTAAAACAGCAAATGCACTGTTTGTACTCTTTGTTCTGGAAAAGGGTATAACACTACCTTTTGCTGCTGCATTTCCTTATACCAGCTTCATTCAGGAGGGATACACATCCTTGCTGGAACCCAGATATGTGATGAATGTTAAATTTCTTATATGAAAAATGACTTCTAATATAATTTCTTTCCCAGGAAATACTTTCATGTGACCAGACTTTCTTGGTATGTCTCCTTGGCCTTTTTACTCCTATCATGAGAAAAATCCTCTTCTGATGTGACCAAAGCAATACTGACATTACAGTTATGAACAAACATAAAAAGCAGGTATTAGTTGCTTGTATTTATACTCCTGAATTCTAGCCATTACAAGCACAGCAAGGCATTGTAGTAATGCATCATATTAGGCCTTAGTTTGCAATGTCATATACACTGGCAAAATTTGCCATACTGGCATCCAATGACAACAGAATATTAAG